GGCAGATGTGCCCAACTATAGATTTGGGCAATTAAATTGGGCACCCATCCAGTTTAATTCCTACCAGAAGATCCAGCTGGAATCTCCCCGAAAGTCAGAATGAAAATCTGGCCCTGAGGCTCTTCCACTTTGGCTGAGATTGGGCATTATAATACCTTTTTGACCACACAATCCAAAAATACATTGATGATTTGGCAGTTAACGAACAGTCGCACATCACCCCCAAATGAAGAGGTTGCCATAGGCAGTGTGTGTGTGTGTGTGTCTGTATGTGTGCTTGTGTACTTGTGTGTGTGTAGGAAATCCAGGCCAGCTTCTTAACTTGCCAGCCAGGCGTGGAAACACCCTTCTGGCAGCTTCGCCCTGCCTCTTCCCCCAGCCCTAGGTGGTGTGTGTGTGTGTGTGTGTGTGTGTGTGTGTGAAAGAGAGAGGGGGTGGAGGGAGGGGGCTGGCTTCTTAACTTATCAGTCCATATGCGAATCCCACATAGCTCCTTACTTCTTCCCCCAGCCCTAGGCGTGTGTGTGTGTGTGTGTGTGTGTGTGTGTGTGTGTGTGTGTGTGTAGGAAATCCAGGCCGCCTTCCTAACTTGCCAGGCAAGTGTGCAAACACCCCCATCCCTCTGGTCTTTTCGCCCTGCCTCTTCCCCCAGCCCTAGGTGTTTTGTGTGTGTGTGTGTGTGTGTGTGAGAGAGAGAGAGAGAGAGAGAGAGAGAGCTGCCTCTGCCCCGCAGCCCCAGGCGTTGTGTGTGTCCGTCTGTCTCTCTCTCCCCCCCGCTCCCTCCCTCCCTCCCTCTCCCTCCCTCCCTCCCTCTCTCTCTCTGTGTGTGTAGGAACCCCAGGCCGGCTTCTCACCTTGCAGCAGGTAAATGTGCGAGGCGGCGGCCCTCTCCTCCCGCAGCAGCGCGTTGAGTAGCAGCCGGGCCAGGCTGTCGGGCCTCAGAGCCGAGACGGACCCGCCGGCTTCGTCCAGCACCACCAGGTGCGCCACTTCGCCCTTGCGGAGCCGAGCCAGGAGCGCCCGGTCCGGCACCAGCCACTCCAAGCTGACGCCGCTCCGGCCCCGCGACCGCCGCCGAAGCAGCCCGTTCCAATGCACCGGCCGGGCGTCCAGCAGGTGCGCCTGACAGTATGCCAGGAATGGCCGGCAGTCCAGCACCAACGTCCGGCAACTTTCCTGAGGGTCCCGCAGCAACCGGGCCAAGCCGGAGCTGTCCAGCGGCACCACCACCTCGATCACCATGCCGGCCGGCGGCTGCTGGGCCAAAAAAAAACAAAAAACCCTTGTTGGCTTGCAGGGGCTCGGAATGCCCGATTCCCACGATTCCCCTCCAACACGAGTCCAAGGATCGCTCTTCGTCAATTTCTGCCTCGCTGCCGGCCGAGAGGGAGCTTAAATCTGCTAGCAAGCCCCGCCCGGGCTGGCCATATATGGAAGTGCGTGTCACCAGAAACTCCCTAACTGGCCCACGCCCCTCCCTCCCTCCTCCTGTGCTGCTGGGAGGGGGGGGGAGAGGGAGGGCTGGATTCCCCGCCTGGGCGGACACACACAAGTCACACACGTGCACGTGCCTGGGCATCCTTTTCCTCCCAACAAGACAAGAATACAGATGAAGGGGGCCTTGGGGGTCATTTAGCCCACCCCACCCCCACCCAAGCAGGAGAGCCAGGGTTTGGGGTGATGGGGTGGCTGGTGGAAACAACCTGAGAGTGTGGGTCTCTCTCTCTCCCCCTCCCCCCAAAAACAACTCCACGGAGGCGGAGATCCAGCAGAATATAGGAAGCCCACCCCCCACCCCCGTTCCAGAGGAAGAAATATTGGGGGCGAATATTAAAAAGAGGCAGAAGGTTATATTTCCCCAAAGGAGAAATGGAGAGAGAGAAAAAACCCTTAACCAAGGCAGAAAGCAGCCCCCCTCCCTCCCGGCAACCCCCAGCAGATGCCTGAAGTCTTCAGAGAGGGATATTTTAGTGCCCATTAAGAAATCCAGGCTGGGGGATTCTGGGAGTAACTTGGAGTTGCCAAGTTAGAAAAGAAAAGGAGAGAAGAGAGGAAAGGAAAGGGGAAGGGAAGGGAAGGGAAGGGAAGGGAAAGGAAAGGAAGGGAAAAGGGAAAGGAAAAAAGAAATCCACTCCAGCCTATTCACAAACAAAACGGGTCCAGTTGATGGGATTAAGAATGTACATCCCATCAACCATGAGAGGATAATGGTGATAAATGGGATGCTCCTATGATGTTTATAATGTTTGATATTATTAACCAATCATAGATAAAGCTGAATAGAGTGTTTCATTAAATAATGGGAAATGTTTAATAAGGAGAAGGGAAGATCATGGTGAATAGATTTTGAGAATAATAGTTATAGTTGCTGTATGTATAAGATGTATTACTTGTATTTAAAAGAGGTTGTACCCGGACAGTAAACTGCCATTGTAGGTAGGGAAATTGTATATATAACAAAGAAAATTGCAACAACAACAACAATAACAACGACAATAACAATAATAATAATAGAATGTACATCCCCTGCCCTCCCAAATTCTAAGAAGAGGACATGAGCTTTAGGATATAATAGGGTTATCCCACTGCTATTAAAATAGCAAACGACACAAAGCTCACTGCATAATCCCCTGGGAGCATTTCAAACACAAAACCCCAAAGAATGTATAAAAGTCCACAACTTGACTCTTGACAAATGTCTCTTTTTTTTTTTTGTACACTGAGAGCATTTGCACCAAGACAAATTCCTTGTGTGTCCAATCACACTTGGCCAATAAGGAATTCTATCTATCTATCTATCTATCTATCTATCTATCTATCTATCTATCTATCTATCTATCTATCTATCTATCTATCTATCTATCGTCTATCTATCTATCTACTTATCTATCTACCTACTTATCTACCTACCTACCTACCTACCTACCTACCTACCTACCTACCTACCTACCTACCTACTTATCTGTCTGTCTGTCTGTCTGTCTGTCTGTCTGTCTGTCTGTCTATCTATCTATCTATCTATCTATCTATCTATCTATCTATCTATCTATCTATCTATCTATCTATCCCAACCCCATTTGGTCAGCTGTCCCAGAACCTCATGCCGTGATTAGTTCTGCTCATCGACAAAAAGAAATTTCCAAACCAGCCTCTGTTTTATTTCCAGCATCTTTTTTCCTCCAGGCTTGGAACCAAACCGGATTGTTTTCTCCCAACAGCCGGTGCTGCTAACATGTAAATCCAGCCATCCGGACTTGGAGATGTAGATGCACCTGGAAAGAGAACAAGGAGTGGGGGGGTTTCGTGTTCCCTGGGAGGGGGCATCTTCCCCAGAAGAACTACAAACACGTCTGAATTGGGTTTGTCAATAAAACAAAACTTAAGTGAAACTAATGTTGTAGTGAGAGTCTCTGTCCAGGGAATTGGCCTATGGCGTATCCAGCATTTTCCAACAACCGGTTTTCCCTCGATTGAAGGGAGCGCAGGGGGGGTTGCTTTCAGAATAACAGGGTTGGAAGGGACCTTGGAGGTCTTCTAGTCCAACCCCCTGCTTAGGCAGGAAACCCTATACCACTTCAGACAAACCATTGTCCAATCTCTTCTTTAAATACACGGTTGGGCATTTGGGTTAGGAATTGGCTGGATCCAATTCCCAGCGGACGAGCGAGATGCTCTTTCACCGTGATTTTCCCAAATCATTCTCCCATCATTTTCAGTTCTGGAAACTACCCCCCCCCCCCCCCCCCCCACTTCTTATACAGTCCTTATCTGAGCTCTCTTTAAAAATGGGGGAGGGGGAACCAGATTATTCTAAAACAGACCCAGTTTATGAACCATCCGAGGGCTAAATTCCCTTATAACAAAAGATTTATGATTTCAAGTTGGCGTTGAAATCTGTTTCTTCGTCTTCATCCCATGGTTTTGATTTCTTGCCCCTAGAAGACCCCTCCCCATCCCATTCAGGACAGACCAAGTGATGAGCATTAAGTGGAGAAAGCAAGAAGGTGGGCTACTATTAACCTCGGTTAGATTTGTGGGGAGTGGTGCGAATCCTGCCTGAGAAGTTCTGCTTCCCTGGACTTCGTAAAGCCAGGTTAATTCAGTACCCAGGTGAAACAGGTGAACAGAGCTTTGGTGGTGGTGTTTTTTTTTTGCCCTTGCTGCATTAAAGGGGGTGGAGGTCAACTTTATTCATGTGTGTATTAAAACATGGGCTAATTTGCAGGATAATTTGCACCAGAAATATAAGGATTTTGCGCTCAGAATGTGGGAGCGTGTTTTTTTGTCCATGCACACCTGAGCTCTTTTATTTTTGTGGCTCTTATTTCATGCAAGTTCTTGAAGGTCCAAGCTTGTGTGATGGATATGTGTGTGTGAGAAAGAAAATCAGTTTTCTCACATTATCAACCATTAAGAAAGAAATCAGGGAGGGAGGGAGGGAGGGAGGGAGGGAGGGAGGGAGGGAAGGAAGGAAGGAAGGAAGGAAGGAAGGAAGGAAGGAAGGAAGGAAGGAAGGAAGAAAGGAAGGAAGGAAGGAAGGAAGGAAGGAAATTTAAAATCTTCTCGGTTCTCCTCCCTTTGGCCACATTGTCCAGGCTGATATTTATGCTGGATTTTGTACTGTACTGAGCCTACTTGACTGATTTATTTTTCTGTAGGCACCAGTAAAAAAATATTTGAAATAAATAAAATGAATATCAAGCTGATTTGGAGAAAGGAATGAGAGAACCATTAAGGGAGGAAAGGTTGAGTTTTTTTACATTCATTAAATGTGTACACCTCCTGCCTCAAAAGATGTTAAGGAGGGAATTGAAAATAAAAATAAAAATAAAAATCTCAGTCCCGAAGAAAGAGGGACATGTGTGAAAGAAACTCAAAAAGTCCCTGCCTTGATTTTCTTCAGTATAAGATGCGAAAGAAAGAAATTGGGACAAGTTTTAAGGCTCTGTTATTCTTCCTTGCTTCAAAGAAGACCATGGCTGGAAGAGCATTTCCTAACTTGGATGACCTCACAGGGCTAACATGTGTCAGGATTTTCCTAAATTTAAGGTATTGTGTTTGGGACATGTCCAGAAGTTGTAGGTGCTCCACAGCTTGGTATTTTCAAGAAGAGGCTGGACAGCCGCTTGTCTGGAATGGGGTAGGGTCTCCTGCCTGATTAGAAGTTGGACTAGAAGACCTCCAGGGTCCCTTCCAGCCTATTCCATATTCTACGCTCGAAGAACAGACTGGGCCTTTAGGAAGAAGCTGGCACAACAAGGGCTCGGCCTGGCTTGGCCCCAGCAGGTGGCACTGCAGGCACTGAGCCATCCCAAAGGGCTGGCAGGGGAGCAGTTGAGGTGCAGAAGTGCAGGATGACATGCCACTGAGAGCATCCAAGATTATTTTCTAGTTGCAAAGATTTACGTAGAGGAAACTTCCTCAACAGATTCTGGATAGTTTATAGGTCTTTAAAAAATATGATAAGACCTTTAAAGAAAATAGTGGTGCGTTGCATTCACCGTTGTATGCCATGGATCTTCCCTATCAACGTTCCTATGGAAAGGCACTGTTTTTTGTGCCCCGAGCATGACAAAAATGGGAGGGGGATGACAATTTTGGGGGTCACACTCTTCCATGATGCTACTGAAAGTTGACCTTCTAGGTCAGAAGTCTCCAAACTTGGCAAGTTTAAGACGTGTGGACTTCAACTCCTAGAATTCCTGAGCTACCATGACTGAAGGAGGAATTCTGGGAGTTGAAGTCCACAAGTCTTAAATCTGTCAAGTTTGAAGACCCCTGGATTAGATAGATA